CTGCCCCGCCCAGCACACACACACATTGTTTCTTTTCCTGATGCTGGCCCCATTCAGTCTGTCTTTCTCATTTCACTATCTGAAACTTGGTTGACTTAGTACTCTTTCAGTACTTAGACATATATTGAAATGTTCAGCAAACATTTGTTCATTAAAATCTTTTAGAATTATTACGGAATAACTACTAACCATAACTACTTTTATGTTATAACCTTATATAAATCCTTTATGTGTGTTATTTTATATATGTTAAAGATAACATCTTCATTTTATCTCTTAATTGTCAACAAAAATTATGATACACAGGAACTGACAAAGTTTCGGTCGTATATTCAGCAGCCCACCTAAGATTTAGTATTTTTAACTTGGATATTGAAATTCTTTGATTTGGACAGAAGCTTACCCTTTAGTGCTTCACCCAGAAATATGGACTACCTGGACCATCCTATATATCCTCTTTTCAAGATTTTGTCTTCAGTCACTGAACATAGACATGAAGAGATATTTGTGAATAAATAAATGCTCTGGGAATAATAATTTTTCTTCCTAACATGCTTTAGCAGTAATTAGCAGTGATCAAGTATTAGGAATGCCTCTCTTATATTCTATATATCTTTTGGAAGAGAAAGTTAACTATGTCCTAGAAATCTACATGTAGAGTACGAATGCTATCAAAAACTGTCAGTTTATGAACTGGTTCTGCTCTACCTTAAAGAGACAAAGACCTCAGAGTGCAAATTTCAGATAACTGTCATTAGTTAGTCCATATTAGAACTTTTACCATCTATTTGTTATGAGATAGCTTGGGAGATCTGTCTGCCTAATTATTGTTAGGATACTTGTAGGGACAGATGAACAGCAAACAAGACAAATGAAAATAGATAAAAGAAAATACTAATTGGACGAATAGAGAATGTCCCTGGAGCTTTCTTGGGATAAACTATGCAAGCTATTGTTGATTCACTGAGAGAAGCCAGATTTTTAGAACCTGACACTTGTAAATGAAATAATAAGTAAATATGAGGATTTTTATACTAATTTGCAATAATGAGTGAGCATGGGGACAGTTGAATTTTCCATGAATGAGGAATTTTCCCTAAATATGAAAAACATTTAAATGATAATATATTTGCATATTAGATTCTTTATATTCATAATAGCATTGTTATATATAGTCACACACACAGTTCTACTTTTGCTTTTTCCATTGTTGTTTTCATGCCTAAGTACCTGTGGCTATACAGGTAACCTATTTCCCACATGAGTTTCCAGTATTGTCTCATCAGTGATGAATAAAAGATTTTCATATCCAAGATTCTGTTCAGCTGTTTTCCAGATTTATGTCCAGCTTCTGGAGAATAGATGAACTTTACTATGTATGTTTTCCACTCGGAGTTATTATCCATGATTGTATCACAAAGAATTTACTCCAAATTCGTAATTGACTCCAAAAAGACCTGATAGTGTCGATAGCATTGAAAAAAAAAAGATGAAGGGAAGTGGTACACTTTGGAAATTGAAGGACACCTTATGAAGTTAAATATTTACCAATTATATGACCCGGCCATTTAATTCCTAGTATTTTTTATATGAGCTATGAAACCATCTGACCACAGAAATATTTTAATACAATTATAGAAACTTTATTTGTAATATCTAACAACTGGAAACATGCCAATGTTCTTCAACCAGTAACTAGACAAGCGAATGGTAATACATGCATAAAGTGTGATTCTATTTAGTAATGAAGAGGAACAAGCTACTGTCAATATCCTGGATCAGTTTAAAAATAAAAAACATGCTGAGCTAAAAATAAAAAAGCTGACTCAGTATTTGCTTGTATCATTCAATTTATGCAAAGTCTGAAAACAACGATTTGAAGAGCAGTGTGTGGGGAGGGAAAATTGCAGAAACTGGACTTTGGGGCATAGTGGTGGTTAAGGAGTGAAACTTTGAAGAAATTTGTTACACTCTACACATAATACTTTTGTTGTGTGTAACTTCTCAGTAAAGTTGGTCAATTTTAGAAGATATAGACACTTTCCCTTAACTTAGCAGTGTAGCACTGTCCTCCTGTTTTTTATCGATTGGCTCGGAGCAGGCGCCAGTAACATGTCCATTGTGAGACTTGCTACTGTTTTTGGCATATCGAGTATGTCCCGGGGAGCTTGCCAGGCTTTACCATGTGGGCAGAATACTCTCAGTAGCTTGCCAGGCTCTCCAAGAGTGTGGAAGAATTGAACCTTGGTTGGCCGCATGCAAGGCAAATGCCCTACCCACTATGCTGTCACTCCATCCCTCGCCTAACTTAGATGCATATAATTACTTTTTCAAATTACTTTTTTTAAAATTTTTTATTTATTTTTTAAAAAAGTGAGATACCATGAGATACAGTTGTAGACTTACATATTTTGTGTTTGGGTTTCAATTATACAATGATCAAATGGAGTACTATGTAGCGGTTAGAAAAGATGAAGTCATGAAATTTACATACAAGTAGTACTACATGGAAAGTATCATGTTAAGTGAAATGAGTCAGAAAGAGAGGGATAGACATAGAAAGATTGCATTCATCTGGGGAACATAAAGTAACCAAATAGGATACTAACAGCCAAGAATGGCCGAGATTAGTAACATGAATTTTGCTGCATGGCTTGGAGGCTAGCCACACGTGCTAGGGGAAAAGGCAGCTCAGATAGAGAAGGGAGCACCAAATAAAGGGTGCTGGGAGGATCCTCCCAGGATGGGAGAAGCATGCTGAAAGTGGACTATAGACCAAACATGATTGCCACTCAATGCCTCTTTTGCAAACCACAACACTCAAAAGGAGAGAGAGAGGGAATGCCTTGCCACAGAGGCAGGGTGGGATGGAGGGTGGGAGGGATACTGGGTGTATTTGATCAAATTACATTTTTTTGACTTCTCGCTCTCAGGCCTTCCTATACTGATTCCTAGCCCCAAAGGCCAGGGCAACCAGATGGGAAGAGCCCTTGATGTATTTAGATGATAGATAAGGCCAATGTCAGCATTATGGATCCATAAGTGTGTGTCATGGGTTTAAGAGCTGGGTGTCAGGAACTTGTTCAGTTTACAGTACCTAGGAAAAGGTCCGGTTTTATAGTCTTCAACAAATGTGGGGAAAAAAATTAAGTTATTTCTTCAAATGTTCATTCTTTAACTTCAACATTGTCATGTCTGATTCAGATACTCTAATTGCATGCATGTAGTTACTCAAAGCTATCTTGATGCTCTTTTTATTGGGGTATTTTAAGCTTTTATTGTTAATTTTTTTATTTTTAATCTATACTCGATGGTGGCCAGAGTTCTTACTCCTGGCTCTGCCCTTATGAATCTCTTCTGGAAGACTCAGGGGACTATAGGGGACACTGGTGATCAAACCCAGGTCAGCTGTTTGCAAGACATCTTTAACTACGGTACTATCTATCCAGCCCCTCTGTTTATTTTTTAGAAGATAGTTTATGGAACAGAACAATAGGAGTAGGGCACTTGCCTTGCATGCAGTTGACCTGGATCTGATCCCAACACCCAAGCATTGACAGGACTAATCCCTGAGGTAAGCCCTGCACCTGCACACTGCTGATTGTGCCCCCCAAAATAAAACCAAAAAGAGCATACTTAACTAATTGACTAACTGTTCTTCAATATCTAATTTGCCAGTCGTCCCTCTGGAGGTTTTATTTTTTTTTTTTTACTTTTTGGGTCACATCTAGGGATGTTCAGGTGTTACTCCTGACTCTGCACTCAGGAATTACTCCAGGGGACCATATGGGATCCTACGGATCAAACAACTCAGGTCAGACCTGTGCAAGGCAAACAACCTACCCGCATCACTCTGGCCCCAGATTTTATGGTTTTCATCTCTAGAGGTTTGGCTTGGGTATTTACCAAAGAATCTTTTTACATTTTGTGTGTGTGTGTGTGTGTTCACTCTTCTATGTTCTTTTTACTTCAATCTCAAATATATGAAGCATACAACTCTTTTATACATATATATATATATATATATATATATATATATATATAGGCTGGAGCAATAGCACAGCAGTAGGGCGTTTGCCTTGCAGCAGCCAATGTGGCCGACCTGAGTTCGATTCCTCCACCCCTCTCGGAGAGCCTGGCAAGCTACTGAGAGTATTTCGCCCACAAGGCAGAGCCTGGCAAGCTACCCATGATGTATTCGATATGCCAAACACAGTAACAACAAAGTCTCCAATGGAGACGTTACTGGGCCCGCTCGAGCAAATCGATGAACAATGGGAGGATAGTGACTATATATACATATATATGCATATATATATAATACATATATAATACAGCTCTTTTATACCTGGTAATTTTTGATGGAATAATAAACATTTAAATTTTTATCTTTTGTATGTTTCTTTTGGGGCCATACCTGTCAGTACTCAGGAACTATTCCAGATCTGTGCTCAGGTCACTTCCAGTGGTGTTCAGGTGATCGTATGTTATTGGAGATCAAACCTGATCTCCAACCTTTTGTTTCAGCCCTTTCACCCATGTCTCTCAAGCCCTGATTTTTATTATTTTTGAGTTCTGGATATTTTTTTATGTGCTTGCGTTTTTGTTTTTCACCATATCCTGTAGTGCTTACTCCTGGCTCTTTGTTCAGGGATCACTCCTAGTGGTTCTTGAGAGAACACTGGGATTGAATGATCCAAAGTCAACCATGTGCAAGGCCAAATGCCCTAACCTCTTAAGATTAAGTGCTTTAATCTCTCTTCCTTCTATTTTTGTATTCTTTTAAGTATTCTTGATATTTGTTCTAAGATGTGGTTATATAGAAACAGTTTTATTCTTTTGAGATTTCCCTTTGTCAGGTGTTATCAGAACAGTATTTAGTCAGTAGCTACTTTTGTTCTGTAATACAGAATATCCCTTGTATTCTACTAAATGTCCTCTGAATTGGATACTCTACCACGACCACAGAGCACCATTCCCACGCTTACATTATTTTTTCTCCATGTATCAGTGACCAGGCTATGGAGACTGCTGAGAAGGCAGTAGCCATGCATAAATTACAGAATTGCTCTGACCCCTTCTATCCACTGGGCATGTGAACAACAGCATCCAGTAAACACAGAGTGTCTTACATAATTTTTTTAAAAAGTGTCACCTATCCATCTAACAGAGCGATCAGCATTCTGCTAAAGAATCATGAGGGACCCTCAGAAGACGTCTCCAACTTTTTTCTGTTTAATGATCTCTTTGGTATTCTGTGCAGTGATCTTCAGTTGCCTTTTCATGTCTCATCTCTCAATTCTGTCACCTCATATCTGGGAATATTGGAGGATTAACCTGGGATACACTTTCCTTGGATTTCAGTCCGGAAACTACTACCAGAATGTTAGTAGTGGAGCAAATGGAGGACTCAAGTTGGAATGCATCCCGTTCCTTTTTTTTTTTTTTTTTTTTGCTTTTTGGGTCACACCTGGCAATGCACAGGAGTTACTCCTGGTTCATGCACTCAGGAATCACTTCTGGCAGTGCTCAGGGGACCATATGGGATGCTGGGAATCGAACCTGGGTCGGCTGCGTGCAAGGCAAACACCCTACCCGCTGTGTTATTGCTCCAGCCCCTGCATCCCATTCCTTTACTGCCATTCATATGATGCCCAAATACCCCAGCTTCATATATTTTGTGTTAGCTTGTGTAAACCTGGTTCCTGTGACTGAATCTTGTCTGTAAGTAGAAATTTCAATTAACGTAAATAAATTTCGAGATAAAATTTTCCTGTCATCTTTTTGACTCAAGTATGGAGAGAGGGAGACCCAGTTTCTTCTTGCCAGCTTCTGCAAGAACCTCCTTACTAGCTGTATTTATTCCACACTTTAAATATTCCTACAAAATGTAGGGATATTCCTGAGAAAGGAAAGTTCTCAATAAATTCTCTCCCAGCACTAAGGTTCACCAGCAACCAAGAGATAATGGGTAATGCCTCAGGGAAATGCTTAAAATAGGTAACCCAAAAGATCTAAACCAGGCAGACGACCCTGCATGATCCTTGCATTCTCTGTAACATTCTTGTCACTTAATAAGTACAACAAAGACCCAGTTTTCATATAAGCGCCCCACAAATGAGCCATATTTAATTTATTCCTATGCTAGAGTCCACACAAAGGGAGTTTCTTTTTATACTACATTTTAATAAAATTGTCTGTTTCTAACTCTGGGCATCTTTATTACTCAATATTTATCTTCCTGAAAATATTGAAGAATCTGTGAACCATGGATAAACACAGAGCTCCAATATTACTATTTTAAATCAGTATCCTGTAATTTCAAGTCTGCCACTAAAAAATTATTTGTATCCACTCCTCCTACTTCCAGAAAACCCAGAAGCCACACTCACTTCTCACAGTCATGCCATGTTGACTCACTAAATGGACCTACTCTATACAATGCTGACTAAATCTCTGAGAAGATAAATACTAAGAAGCTAAAATCCCTAGACAAACAGGTTCCTGAAGTGAAACTTTTCAGTTTTAGTTGTAATATGCAAATTTCTAATCACATTTGGGATTAAAAAGTGATCTAGTAGGGAGCTGGAGCAATAGTACAGCGGGTAGGGTGCTTGCCTTGCACGCGGCTGACCCGGGTTTGATTCCCAGCATCCCATATAGTCCCCCGAGCACCGCCAGGAATAATTCCTGAGTGCAAAGCTAGGAATAACCACTGTGCATCTCCAGGTGTGACCCAAAAAGTTTAAAAAAAAAGTGATCTAGTAGGTTTGATTATTTTTTGGCATCTAATTATCCTATTTTTTTTCCAGTATCACATATATCACTTGTATCACTTGTCATCCCATTGCTCATCGATCTGCTCAAGCGGGTGCCAGTAATGTCTCCATTTATCCCTGTCATGAGCTAGTGTAGCCCAATGGCCTCTGATCGCTCCAGGAACACGAAGAACCTCAAACTGTTCCTTCAGGGTCCTGATGAAGAAGTCTGACCATCTCCTCGTAGGTGGGCGGCCTGGTGTTTTTTGGCATCCTGTGGAATCCAGTCAATAAAAGCTATGATTTGTTGAAAATGATAAGTTTCATTATGATGACATTTCTTCATTGTTTTATCAGTTACCATCTTCAATTCTTTGTCTTTAGGTTTGCCTTCTGTAGACATGTTTCCTTTGGGGTCACTATCACTGTCCTTTGGGGTATTCCATCTTAATTTTTGCTGTGTTTGCCTGAGTTTTTCTTTTTATGCATTTGAATTAGTTACTTTTGTTTCCCTGAAGGTGGCACTGTGTACCCAATGTTGGATTTTTCCTTTGCTTTTGTGGCTGTGAAAGGAGGTTGGGAGGCTCAGAACGAAGATGGTGACAAAATCAATAACCTCAATTATTTTAATCATTATCTTGCCACTAAGAGGGAGGGAAGTAGTCCACAGGGATTGTCTCAGTTTGCCTTCTGCCTCTTCTGCTTCTGTAGAACCCTCCACGCCCCCCTTCACCCCCACTCACCCACTGCCAAAAGTTTGCTATGCAGTTTTCATATCTGGGTCAACACTATCCAACTAAGCAAGTTGCCTGCTGCTAGCCTAAAACAACAGAACATAGTGCTCATTCCTCCTCACAGAGTCAGGAATTGGAGAAGATGGGAAGAGAAAAGTGAGAGAGGTAAAAGGAAATAGTGGTGTGTATGTATCAAGGAGTTCCATTTCAACCTATTAAAATTTGGCAAAAACTTAATTTATCACTATATCTCTAGAACTTAGTAGGGCTTAAAGAAATGTTTCTGAATAAAATATAATTTGATCACAAATACTTATTTTTAATATTTTATATTCTTTTTTGTATGATGTTTTTAATTACAGTATTATCAGGTCAATTTGCCTAAATTTTTATTTTTAAGATTTTTTTATTGAATTACTGTGAGATAGACACTTACAAATCTGTTCATGATTAGGTTTCATTAGCACAGTGTTCCAACACCCATAATTCGATCAGTGTACATTGTCCATCACCAGTGTCTCCAGGTTCCCTCCCCCTTCCCCCACCCCCAGCCTACCTCTATACCAGGCACTTCTCGATCTCTTTGACTCTGTCTCCTCCCTGTCTCTGCCTCTTTGTCTCTGTGTCTGTGTCTGTCTGTCTTTTCTCTCTCTCTCTCTTTCTCTCTTTCTCTCTCTCTCTCTCTCTCTCTCTCTCTCTCTCTCTCCTTCTGGTCATTGTGATAGCAATTTGCGATACAATTATTGAAAGGTTATTCTTATTTTTAACACGCAGTTCAGCATCATCATTTCCAGCTATAACTGTCAGCGATAGCACAGCAGGTAGGGCGTTTGCCTTGCACGCAGTCCACCCGGCATACCTGAGTTCGATTTCTCCGCCCCTCTTGGAGAGCAGGGCAAGCTACCAAGAGTATCTTGCCCACACAGCAAAGCCTGGCAAACAGCTTGTGATGTATTCGATATGCCAAACACAGTAACAACAAGTCTCACAATGTTACTGGGCCCGCTGGAGTAAATTGATGAACAACGGGAGGACAGTGACAGTGACAGTGACTTCTCTATCTTACCTACCCTCCACCACACCACAATTGTAGTTGATTCCAACCACTGACCAGTCCTCTAGCCACTGTTTTCACTGGCCATGGATATTAGCCTTTTAATATATATATCTAATATATCTAATATTTATATATATCACAAGTGAATGCAGTCATTCTATATCTATCTCTCTCCTTCTGACTCATTTCACTCATGATACTCTCCATGCCATCAATTTACAGGCAAGTATTATGACTTTATTTTTTCTAACAGCTACATAATATTCCATTATATAGATGTGCCATAGTTTCTTTATCCAGTCATCTGTTCTCAGGTACTCAGGTTGTTCCAAATTATGGCTATTATTAATAGTGCTGCAATGAACATCACTTGATCACTTGACTTTCCGTTAATCATCAATTTGCTCGAGCGGGCACCAGTAACGTCTCCATTTGTCCCTATCACGTGCTAGTGTAGCCCAATGGCGTCTGTTCATTCTAGGAACACAAAGAGCCTCAAACTGATCGTTCAGGATTTTGATGAAGAAGTCTGACCATCTGGTAGATGGGCGGCCACGCGATCTTTTGACGTCCTGTGGAATCCAGTCAGTAATGGCTCTAGTCCAGCATTCGTCTCCAAATCTCATTACATGACCAGCACATCTGATTTTTGATGCCTTCGCAAAAGAGACAGCGTCCCTGATTCTTGATTGTCTATGGAGGTTGGAACTCTGGATTCTTTCTCTCATTTGAGGGAAACGTAACACTCCAAGCATTGCTCTTTCAATTCCTCTTTGGGAGACCTGAATAGCGTTCTCATCCTGTTTGAGTAGGGTCCAGGTCTCTGAGGCAAATGTTAATGCAGGAAGAACAGTGGAATCAAAGAGATGTGCCCAGAGCCGGAGGTTCTTCATCCTCTTAGCTATTTCTTCGACGCTCTTGAAGGCGTTCCAAGCCTCTCTCTTCCTCCTGCGCAACTTGGGTGCCAGGTCATTCTTCGTGTTAAATTCTCGACCTAGGTACACATAGCTGTTGCATTTGGAGATGGTCATTCCACTGAAAGCGAATGGAGCATCAGGAACAAGGCTGTTTCTCATAAACATTGTCTTCGTAAGATTCAGCTGGAATCCAACCTTTCCACACTCATGGTCGAAGTCGGCCAGCATTTGTGCCACTTGGCTAATGTTTGGTGTTATTAGAACAATGTCATCAGCAAAGCGGAGGTGGTGTAGTCCTCCTTGAAATCTATTAGCAGTTGTTTTCAGTATTTGCTAGGCCCTCATTGATTGTGTATATGTTTAGGAGTGTAATTTTTTCTGACTTGCATATATCCCTTGATTACTAAGAAATGACCTTCACAATCCCTTCTAATTTTTTGTAGCCTGAAATACATGTTGTTGAATATTAGTATGGCCACTCCAACTTTTTTGAGGGAGTTGTTTGCTTGAAGAATTGTTTTTCAGCCTTTGGCTTTGGGTCTGTATTTGCTCAGACTCTTCAGATATGTTTTGTTTAGGCAGCATAATGTTGGATTCAGTTTTTTAATCCATTTTGCCACTCTATGTCTCTTGATTGGTGCATTTTGAGGACTGACATT